GATGCTTCCTGCATCCCTTAATATTTTTCCCATAGAATTTTTCCATTGCAACCTGAGTCTTGAAGGCTTTCTTGAGTTCCTTCAGTTTATGATTTGCTGAGTGTGTTCTTCCTGTCTGGCTTTTTAATTCTAGGTCTTTGCACATTTCATTATAATATTGGATGTTGTCTTCCCAAGCTGCCCTTTGAAAAGTTCTCTTCAGCTCTTTAACTTCATCATTTCTTCTTTTATGTACAATGCAAATAAGAGCAAGTTTTGGAGTTTCTTGATCTTTTCTTTCTTTCTTGCCTTCTAAATAACCTTTTGCTTTCTTCATGAATGCTGTTCTTGATATATTCCCACCATTCATTGGGTCTTGGATCATTAGTGTTCATCATATCGTGTTCTTGATAGTTCTGGAGATGTTTTCAAAATCCAGGTGGGATATAGTCAAGGTTGTATTTTGATTCTCATGGACTTCTTTAATATTCTTTAGCTTTTATTTGAACTTAGATATGAACAATTGATGGTCTGTTTCATAGTCAGCCACTGGCCTGGGTTCAGCTGCTAATATTGAACTTCTGCATGGTCTATTCCCACAGATGAAGTCAATTTTATCTCTGTGTATCCCATCTGGAGAGGGCAATGTGTATAGTCAAATTTTGTGTTGTTGACGAAAGGTATTTGCCATGAACAAGTCATGGGTCTGGCAAAATTCTATCATGCAATCCCCAGCATAAATTCTCAAAACAGTCTATAAGTAATATTACATTCAATATATCTCAGTAACATGCACATCAATTATACCTTTTTTTTTAACCTCTCACTCACTGCCATCGCGTAATTTCTGACTTATGTGACCCTATGGGCAGGAGGAATTTATGAATGCTAGAGAACGCAGTTTGTCGTTGGGCTGCTATCCTTCACCAGCTGTTTGGTTTGTATATTTTTTTATAATTGGAATTACACAAAATGGAAAGTTTGAGACTTCATCTTTTGGCCACCTCATGTCCCCTAAAACAAAGCAAGCAAACAAACAAACAAACCACAAACTCACGGCCATCTAATTGATGCTGACTCCTAGAAACTCTATAGGGTAGAGTCGAACTGCCCCTGTGAGTTTCCTGTAAGCGTTTACAAAGTAGAAAAGTTTTGAACTATTGACCTTGCAGTGAACAGCGCAACAAATAACCACAGAGCCACCGGGGCTTCTCTTTTGGCCACTGGGCTTTTGATAAATGCACACATTGCTGAACGCTATAAAACAGAAGATCCAAACCAGTTGTCTAATGTGAGCTCCAAGGACACTTTTGTGTTTCTTCTTCAAGGACATTAAAACAAATTCAATAATTTAGACTGAAATATCAATTGTAACTTATTGGAGAGAAAGATAATAGAAGCCGTGTTGGTCTCACAGCTGACGTTGGCTCCAATACCAACAAGCTGTCTTCTCCAGTTCCATAAAAATGCTAAGGCAACTTACTAGATATTTGACCAATTTAACTGCCATGTTTGGAAATAAACTCTGTTTGGAGCAGAGATGCCTCTTATCTCTTTTGACTTACACAAATGTATTACACATTCAGGCCATCTGATTATTCCACAGCTACATGAAATACATACGAAGGGGTAAAAGTAATAAAAATAGTTATTTTATCTTTAGATATACCTTTCAGGTAGATGGATTCATAAAGACTGCCTCAACGTACATTAAAATTTTGCATGAAATAGAAATACTTGGAATGATTTTACTGAAAAGTTATTAAATCTTGATGACTAGTAAGCTTCGAGAAACAAATGCTTTAATAACATTAAAATAGCAATATAAATTTCAAATATAGCAAATTCAACCCCTTTACCCAAACCCAAATTCATGACTTTTGAGTACATTGTGACTCATGGAGACCTTCTAGGACAGAGTGGAACTGCCCTGTAGGTTTTTCATGACTGAATCAATCATAAGCCAACCACCAGTTCTGTGTGGGTTCTTTCTAACGGCTGACCTTTTGCTTAAGCAGTAAGGCATTTAACCACTCGTCCATCAGGACTCACTATGCTTTTGTTGTGGTGGTTAGGTGCCAATTCCATGACTAGTCTTTCCTGACGTCATGTCCAAAATATGTGAAAGGAAGTCTTACCATCCTTGACTCTAAGGAGCATTATGGCTGTAGAAGTTGTTAAAACATTTCAGTTGGTATTCCATCAATTTCTGGAGCCTTGTTTTGGTCAATGCTATCAGTTCAGCTTGAAAGTGTTCTTTCAGCACCATTTGTTCTTTCTCATATGCCAACTCTTGAAACTGTTGAATATCACTTATTTCTTTTTGGCACAGTGACTCTTTTGATCTTCATATTACTTATTAGTGTTATTTCTTATGTCATTGCTTTGAAAGCATAAAATGCTCTCCATCTCTTATATTTAGTCACTGTTGTATATGTAAAAGATGAAGAATAAAGAAAGAAATTGAATTCAAGTTAAGAAGAGTAAATACAACATTCTCATATTTTGTCATTTTTTAACTTGTTAGGATGCTGCCAGTGACTACTCTTCTAAGAGTTAGAAATTGTTTAACCCCAAATTTATGGAATTATTGATGGTTAATTTTGTTGTTGTTGTTAGGTGCCATCAAGTCTGTTCAACCCATAGCGGCCCTAAGCACAACAGAATGAAACTCTGTCCAGTCTTGGGAGGATTCCCGTGCTTGAGCCCATTATTGCAGTCCCTGTGGCATTCTGTCTCCTGGAGGGCCTTCTTTCTCATCGTCCCTCCACTTTACCAAGCATAATGTTCTTCTGCAGGGACTGGTTTCTCCCGGCAACATGGCCAAAGTATGAAACAAAGTCTCACTATCTTTCCCTCTAAGGAGCACTCAGGCCATACTTATTCCAAGACAGATCGGTTGATCTTTTCAGTGGTTCATGGTACTTTCGCTCTTCTCCACCAGCATCACAATTCAAATGCATCAGTTCTTCTTCATTCATCCTTATTCAGTGTCCGGCTTTCACATGCATATGAGGCTGTTGAAAATGCCCTGGCTTGGATCAGGTGCACCTTACTTCTCAAAGTAACATCATTGCTTTTCAATATGCTAAAGAGGTCCTGTGTGGCAGATTTACCTAATACAATTCCTCTTTCGATCTCTTGACTGCTGCTTCCATGAGCATCGATTGTGCATCCAAGCAAGATAAGATCCTTGATAACTTTAACCTTTGCTCCATTGACCATGATGTTACCTCTTTGTCCAGTTGTGTGGATTTTGGTCTTCTTCACACTGAGTTATAATCCACACTGAAGACTGCACTTCTTGATCATCAGTAAGTGCTTCCCCTCCTCCTCACTTCCAGCAAGCAAGGTTGTGTCACCTGCACATTGCAGGTTGTTAATAAGGCTTCCTCAAATCTTGATGCTACATTCTTCTTCATAAAAGCCAGTTTCTTGGATGATTTACTCAGCATGCAGATTGAAGAATATGTTTACTTATGTTTTATTGACTCCACCAACACATTTGACTGTGTGGATCACAACAAACTATGCATAAGCTTGAATATAATGAGAATTCCAGAACACTTCATTGTATTTATGTGGCCCTTGCACATGGATTGTGCAGGCAGAACAAGAGCATACTGCTTGGTTTAAAATTAGGAATCATGTGCCTCAGGGTTTTATCTTCTTACCATACTTATTCAAGCTGTATGCTGAGAAAATAATCATAGATTCTGGATTATATGAAGAGGAATGTGTCATCAAGTTTAGAGGAAGACTTTGATTGTTAATGACATTTCATTATTAGCAGTGAAGCTATATACTGTGAGTCTAGTGAAAAAAATAAAGAAGCAAAGTTAAATCTGAGTGCAGTGCTAAATGTTGACAGTTATTTACATCATTATTTTAAGCATCTGAACTTCAAGTTTAATATAAGAACAGCTTATTCTCTTTAATAATGTGTAGTCCAATAGTGCTAACATTTTAAAGACTTTTGTATTTTTTAATTATC